TCCCCATCATCTCCCTTTCTATCTCTTACTCTAAATGATGTTTATAGCTTGAGTAGGATAATTATTGAGTATACTTATAAAGCTTATGATCCAATCTGCAATAAATGGTCCAATCTGTGACAAGGAGTTAAGGGTTGTTTTACACTTTGTCTCACTTGGGGAAAAAGAAGTTCCTTTGATTCTTCTGAATTTTTGTTTGTGTGTTGTATATGCGTTACTTGTAAAATCTGTAAAGTTTTAAGGCTAAAAGTGTCAAACATTTTTTCAGGCATGTAACATGTCCTTAATGAAAAAAATAGGGTCAAGTGTCACCTGATGACATTATGCAGAAAGAAGATATTTATTGCTTCTTTGGGTGAATGTGAATGATATAGTTTGATAATTTGATGATATGGAATCAGAATACAACTCTATTTTTCAAGTGCAGAATTTTTTTTTTTCATGTGAAATTCTATTTTGCATTTTTTCATACCACAAAATGATGGACTGACAGCATGAAGTTCTCTCTCTCTCTCTCTAAGTGCCATATCGTTTGACTTTGGCGATCATGCTGTTCCACAACCCTCGGTTCCTAGCCTTCTGTACTAGTACCACTCCCAGTTCTTTCACTCCTCTCTCTTCCAACAATTTCTGCAGACTGTCCATCCAAAGTATCCTCCTTCTTCCCCTATTTCTTCTTCCCACAATTTTCCCTGTCAAAGCAAGATTCTCTAGGCCTTCTTTACGTATAATGTGACCCATGAACTTCAACTGCCTAATCAACATCTCACGTATCATTTTCCTTTGCACTCCAGCTCGTGTAAGAACTTCCTCATTACTAACTTTGTCAGTCCAGGGGATTTTCATCATTCTTCTTAAAAACCACATTTCGCAACTTTCCAAACGATTTTTAGTATCAGAGGCTAAGGTTCACGTTTCACTACCATACATAAATACTGGGTAGATGTAACAATTAAATACTCTTATTCTGGTCCTCATACTCATTGTTTGGTTTGTCATAATTTTGCCTAGCTTTGAAAATGCAGATTTAGCGAGAGCTATCCTGCATCCTCGGTGATCATGCTGCCGAGGTAGTTAAATGAGGAGACTTGTTTAATAATCTTTTCTTTAAGTTTCAAGTTACATTTTTGACTGCTCTTCTTAGAGACCACCAGGCATTTTGTCTTGGTATAGTTGATCTCTAGTCCCATTCTCTCACTTTCTTTTACAACTACATTCAGGAGTCTCTGGAGATCTTTCCCTGATTCAGAAAATAAAACAGTGTCATCAGCATATCTAATATTTGTGATTGAGTGGCCACCCACTTGTATCCCATTTTCATCTTCCAATTCTCTTAGAATGATTTCACTATATATATTGAACAGGTCTGGCGACATAACACAACCCTGTCTGACTCCACGTCTGATGTTAATATATTCACTACACTCTCCTTCTACCGTCATGCATGAAAACTGATTTCAATATAGACTTTGTAGCAGTCTTAGATCTTTCATATATATATCAAGCTTTTTCAACTCTTCAAAAAGTTCTGAATGTTTTACTTTATCCAAAGCCTTTGAATAATCAATAAAACACATGTACACATCCTTTTGCATTTCGACTGCTCTCTCCGTTATATTTCTAACGACAAATATTGCATTTCTTGTGCCCGCACCCTTTACAAAACCAAATTGTTCCCTTCCGACCATGGGAGTTATTCTGCTTCTTGCTCTCAACAGCAAAATCCTCAACATAATCTTAGTGATATGGCAAATAAGGCTGATTCGTTTATTGCTGACAATCCACGGCTCCCGGTTTCTTTGGCAGAGTAATGAAAAATGGATCTGCCCAATTCATCTGGAAATGTTCCGTCATCATATATTTTATTAATAATTTCTGTTAATCTATCAACACCATATTCCTCTAATGCTTCAAAAATTTAGTGACCACACCATCTGGTCCAGCTGCTTTGTTCTTCTTCATCTTTGAAATTACACAACGGACTTCAGATTTAAGAATTTTCTCCCCTTTGACTTCATCTGCAAAACTTGGCATTGCTTCCCTATTATCTTAACAAATTCAATGTATTGCGTCCACCTACTAATTTTGTCCTTTATTTCAAACAGGATTGACCCATCTTTTCCTTTGATACAGCCAGGGTTTGAACAACCAGACTTTTTACCTAAAATTTCATTTATTCTTTGGTAAACATTACTATTCTTATCGAATTGATTTTTCAATTTCTACACATTGTTCGTTTAGCCAGCTCTCTTTTGCCTCATTACATTTTTGCTTAATTTGTTTTTCTAGGTCCCTATATTTCTTGCATTGTCTATTTCCAATTTTCTGTCTATCTTTCATCATTAAAAGAATCTCCTCTGTCATCCATTTGTTACTTCTTTTTCTCTCTTTTATCGGCACATATTCTTCCGCTGTTTCTACCAGAATATTTCTCATCGTCTCCCACGTGTTTTCTTCATATTCATCTATGAGCAACTCAAACCTATTATTTACTTGTACAGTAAATTCCTGACGTATGTCCGGTTTACTCAACTGTTTAAAATCCAATATTTTCACAACTTTTGGTCTCTTGAGTTTCCTTAACTTGCACTGAAGTGTACATATCACCGGCACATGATCACTCCCGCAGTCAGCCCCTGGATATGTTTTTGATTGTTTCACTGCTCTTTTAAATCTACTATTTATGGCAATATAGTCTATCGGGTTTCTGACGATGTCGCCAGGACTCTTCCAAGTGTATACTCGTCTAGGGTGTTCTTTGAACCAAGTATTAGTGATGACCATGTTCTCCCCCTCACACCACTGAACCAATCTGTCCCCTCTGTTTCCCTCTGTACCATGACCGACTTTAGCATTCAGGTCTCCCAGGACCAGGACAATGACAATGTCATTCGATTTGCACTGAGATTTAGCTTTATCTAAGGAATCATAAAAGGTGTCAATAACTTCGTCAGCACTATCTGCTGTTGGGACATAAATCACCAGATTGAGATGTTAAAAGGGTGTCCCTGTAATTTCACTAGGAGCACCCTATCACTTACACACCAGTGTCCCAACACACTCTTTGAGATATCTGGATCCAGCAGTAACCCCATACCTCTTTCATGCTTTTCACCTCCTGCATAAATCAATCTGTACTCATCTATCACAAAGTCACCGTTATTCAGCCATCTTGTTTCATTTAGTCCCAATATGTTGACATTTAGCCTCATCATCTCTTGTTTAAAATTTTCCAACTTGCCGCTCTGATACAGTGTTCTCACATTCCATGTTCCAACTCTGATGGTATTCCTATGAAGTCACTGATTTTGAAAAAAACACAAAGCAGTTTGACCCTATATTCTGTACTGCACAGCTACGCATGTTAAGGTTGCTTTTGCATACCAACTTCCAGAATAAAAAGATAAATGGTTCTTGAGATATGTGGCGTCAACACAATGTTTGGAGAGGACAATTTTTAGTTCGGAGAGGACATTTTTTTTGACATGCAGTTGCAACTGCCTAAAACAATTAAGATTCATTATTTCATGGCATAAATGAAATTGGAAAAGTGTTTATTAGAACATATTTTATCCCTATTAGCACCCATTTATGATCTGCATGTAGATCATCAATCACCTATCGTAGAGAAATTATCTTCTCTCTCATTAAAAACTGGATTCACATTGAACTAAATATTGTCAGAGGGTACCTGGACAATACTGTGATTCTAAAGTTACAAGTTTTTAGGAAAAGTTAACCATATATGTTACGTGAGGTTTCCTCTACCCGTTGTCCCCAGGTCCTTTGTTCCACAACAACAGATAACACAACACAAAGTGGTTAGATTTCAAAGGCTGATCTTCATTTCGAGCTTCGTTCTTAAACTCCCAAAACTAGACTAACTCGTCCCGAGGACGGTCCGTACAATGTATCTAGATTCGGTAGATACACCCATCACACTCCCCCTCATAAATTAGCACTTATACCAGTAGGAGAAGTGCTATAAAAACATTTCTTTTTCAATGTTGTTTCAGCAACTGCTGTAAGAATACAAAAACCTGAAAGTATTTATAAGTATGAGGTCTTTGTAGATTTAGAAATCTGATAAACAAGTCAGCTTGTAAAACTATACAGTACCAGCATGCAAATGGTATCACAGCGTTGTCTAGTGGTTTCCGTTCATACAATAAAATTGAGTATGAACAGCTATAAGTAAAAACATAAACCATTCTTTTATCATCCTGCTCTATCATCTTCATCGCTGACTTTTGCATATATCAGAAGTCATTTGTACTTAACATAAAACAAAATACAATTCAAATCGCAGAGAAGTTCACCTTAAATGACCTATCAATATTAATATGTCTTCATGCTTCTTCGCAAGTTTGAATCTAAACATATTTCTTTGCATAAAAATAATACTAAACAAACTCCAGCAACATTAAACCTGTCTGAAAGATAATATAATATAGCCTTCACGTCAGTTGTAAAAACATGTTACTATTAATCTGAAGTTTTGCATTGTAGTGTAAAACCATATCATCTGTGTTGGTTGAATATTGAATATTTTCAAGAATAACTTTGATTACTTTATATCCATAACCAAAAATATGGTAAAACACCAAAATATTTTATGTTCCAAAGTTCCTTCTTTTAATATATTTATCCTGCCTTGCATAAAACATATAAATCAATTTAGTGTTTCTGTTTTCATATAAACATGCACAGACAAAATGATGACTCACTAGGCTTTCTAGTTCCTTGTGTTTGTACCAAAAGGGTTTTAACACAGTAATATTATCATGCATGTTCAAATTCGTCAACGAATACGATAAGCATATCACATACATATATACACTGGTTTACAGACATCTGGAAAGCAAACGTAAGAAAAATACATTTTTCTGTGAGTCCAATAAACAGTTTCAATGAGTCCAATCAGTCTATGTTCACAATGCTCTGTGATTATTAAAGAAACCATCAAAGTTAAAAGTTCTGGTTCCCTTTCTTACATAGAATTCCAATGAATTCACCAATGTAGCAATGTTCAACTGTTCAAGAATGATGCTTCACTGTAAGTGTTCAACTGTTCAACAAATATGGTTCACACAAGGGTTGTTTACTTTTCCATGTGAATATATCAATTAGTTGCTCACTTCTGTCCAAATATCACACACGAGATAAAGCGTCCGCAATAACATTGTCCTTTCCTGGCACATGTAGAATGTCCAAGTTGTATTCTTGGAGCAGCAAACTCCATCGCGTCAGTCTTTGGTTCTTGTTTTTCATTCGGTTGAGGAATGTCAGGGGGTTATGATCAGTTAGTACCCTGACTGGATGTTGAGATCCACTGACATACACGTCAAAATGTTCAAGTGCAAGTATCAAAGCCAATGTTTCTTTTTCGACAGTAGAATAGTTCTTCTGACTTGCACTGAATTTCTTTGAGAAGAATGATATGGGTCTGTCGATACCTTCAGCGTCTGCTTGAGTAAGAACTGCACCAGCACCCACATCACTCGCGTCCACCATCATGCTGAACGGCTGGTTGAAATCCGGAGCCATCAGTACCGGATTGGTAGATAAGAGGGCTTTCGCCTGGTTGAAAGCACTCTCGCAGTCGTCAGACCATACAAACGTCACCTGCTTGCGCAGCAGATTGGTTAGGGGAGTTACAACATCGGAGAAGTTATGGCAGAATCTTCTATAATAGCCTGCCATGCCCAGGAACCGCATCAATTCCTTCCGGTTGGTTGGAATCGGGAAAGCCAGGATGGAATCGACCTTCGCCGAGATTGGCCGTACTTGACCCGAACCAACAACATGCCCAAGGAAAAGGACAGTTGCCCCTGCAAACTCGCTCTTTGCCAAGTTGACTGTCATTTTAGCAATGGACAACCTTTCAAACAACTCTCTGATTCTCTGTACGTGCTCATCCCACTCTTCACTATACACGATTATGTCATCTATGTATGCTTCGCAACCTGCCATATTCGCTACAAGATTATTCACAAGTCTTTGGAATGTCGCAGGCGCATTTTTCATGCCAAAAGGCATCACTGTGTATTGGAAAAGGCCTTGCGGAGTAGAAAACGCAGAGATCTCTTGTGCTCTTTTTGTCAACGGGATTTGCCAGTATCCCTTTAAGAGATCAAATTTGCTCACATACTTTGCTTTGCCTATACGGTCTATGCAATCATCTATTCGCGGAATCGGAAAAGAATCTGTCTTCGTGCACGCGTTTACTTTTCTGTAATCCGTACAGAAACGATTAGATTTATCCGGTTTTGGAACGAGGATGCAAGGAGAAGACCATGCACTACTACTTGGCTCGACAATGCCGTTCTGTAGCATGTATTCGATTTCCTTTTCGAGATTTTTCAGTTTTGTCGGGTTTGCACGATATGGTGCCTGTTTGATTGGGGTTGTATCTCCCACATCAACATCATGTTCAACAACATCAGTTCGAGAGGGAACATCAGCAAATAACTGTGGATATTCACTCAACAGCTCTTTCACGTCGCTCCTCTCCTTGACAGATAAGTGTGTTAGTTTGTTATCGATGTGTGCTAGAACCTCTGAATTTTTCAATTTCACACATGGGTTCTCTCTCTCAATCTTGCACACTTCTTTCTCAACTTCACACTTTGAGTCACATTCAACAGCACTCAACACTGGTTGTGCTTTACTCTCGTCATTTCTTCGGATATATGGCTTAAGCATATTCACATGACACACACGTCTCTTCTTCTGCCTATCTGGAGTATTGACAACGTAGTCGACATCACCAACTCTCTTAGCAATAGTGTACGGCCCAGAAAATCTAGCCTGCAGAGAATGACCAACTATCGGCAGTAAGACCAAGACTTCATCTCCTACCTCGAAATTCCTCTCTTTGGATTTCCTGTCATACCATGACTTCATCTTCTCCTGAGAATCTGACAAATTCTGTCTGGCAACCTCCCACGCCTTATGCATTCTCTCACGGAAAGTACTCACATACTCCAACACATTTGTTTGTGAATCATCACACAACAGTCTCTCTTTTAGCAACTTCAATGGTCCACGTACTGAGTGACCGTATACCAACTCAAAAGAACTGAAACCAAGCGACTCTTGTACAGCATCCCGCACAGCAAACAATAACAAGGGAACTCCCTCATCCCATTGTTTCTCTGACTCCATACAATAAGTTTTCAACATATTCTTCAAAGTCTGGTGGAATCTCTCCAGTGCTCCCTGGGACTCTGGGTGGTATGCACTCGAAACTACATGTTTTACGCCCAGTTCCTTCAACACCTGATTGAACACCCTAGACATGAAATTTGACCCTTGATCAGATTGTACAGTTTTTGGTAGCCCTACAGTAGTGAAAAATTTCACTAACGCCTTTGTCACATTATTCGCTGTAATGCGCCGCAGTGGTATCGCTTCGGTATATCTCGTCGCAGCGCACATTATCGTCAATAAGTATTCATTACCTGCCTTAGTCTTTGGCAGAGGACCTACACAATCTACTATGATCCTAGAAAATGGCTCATCGAACGCCGGTATTGGCTTCAATGGTGCTGCCGGTATTTTCTGATTCGGTTTACCTACAACTTGACATGCATGGCAACTTCTGCAAAAATTTGCAACATCTTTTTGCACACCTGGCCAAAAGAAATGAGAAAGAATTTTCTCCTGGGTTTTGTGAACCCCTAAGTGACCTGCAAGTGGAGCTTCATGAGCAAGGCTAATTATGTCCTGCCTGTATGTAGAAGGGACTACAATTTGGTGGACTTCTTTCCACACCTCATCTGCAGGGACATCTGCTGGCCTCCACTTTCTCATTAGCACACCTGCTTTCTTGTAATAACAAACAGGCACAGTCAATGCCTCCTCCTCAGAAACAGCTCTCTCATTCAAAGAAATCAACTGAGGATCTGTCTGTTGCTCCTTTAGCAACTTACTCTTTTTCAAAGATAGTGGTTCAGATGTTTCACTATTTCCTACACTACGATCCTTTCTCGCACTCTCATCCACATTGGAATCAGACTCATCTTCAATCAAACGACAAAAGAAAGAATCTCCCAAGTCAACATCTACGTCATTGGACTTCTTCTCCGACTCAACTTTCTTTGCCATTGAACGAGTTACAGCACATGCTGGGAACACAACAGGAAATTCTGCAACCAACTCATCTGTCTCAGAACTTTCACAAGGACTAGAACTTACTACTGGACATGATACGACTCTGTCACCAGCGAGATCATTACCTAATATGATAGATACCTCTTCCACAGGAAGTGATGGTCTAACTGCCATCTTCACCATACCAGAAACAAGGTCTGACTTCAAGTCTACCACATGAAGGGGTGCTTCCACAAAGCCGTCTCCAATGCCTTTGAGCAAAACACTAGCACCAACAGAAGAACTATCACAAAAGGGCAACGCACTTTCCAAAATCAAGGACTGAGAAGCACCAGTATCCCGCAAGACTTTCACTTTTCTTGCTACATCACTCTCTGCTACAGATACATATCCTACAGACACAAACGGTTCATACTCTTTCTGAATTTTTTCCATGTTCGCTGGTACAATTCTACTTTGTGAGTTTGATGTAGTTTGTACGAATGCATTAGGATGTGCACTAGATTCCTGTTTCTTAGCCTGAAGTGAAGGACACTTTGACTTTATGTGCCCATACTGTTTGCAAGCATAGCACATTCTTTCCCCTGTTACCTGTCCTTGCTGGGACTGCGGCTTTATTTCATCTTGTGATGAACTAGTTTTCTGGCTTTTGCTCCAGTTTCCTTTTTTCTTAGGTTCTACGCTCACTTTGTTTGAGATTTTGTGTGTGAGCACATAATCATCAGCAATTCTTGCTGCTTCATCCAGCGAATCGACGCGCTGCTCCTCGAGATGTATACGAACATCCAGTCGAACGCTGCGCTTGAATTCCTCAAGCAGAAGAATTTCACGCAGTTTATCATAATCATGATCTACATGGAGAGACGAGCTCCATCTGTCAAACAATTGCTCTTTTTGTTTTGAAAACTCCATATGAGTTTGCGATTCCTCCTTTCGCGCTTTGCGAAATCGCTGCCTGTACGCTTCGGGTACAAGTTCATAAGCTTTTAGCACGCTCGATTTTACTTTATCGTAATCTGACACGTCGGCCATCGACATTGCTAAGTAGGCATCCCTAGCCTTACCGCTAAACTTACTCTGAATCAGGTGAGCCCACATTTCCCTAGGCCACCCCATGCTTTGAGCTAATTTCTCAAAGTGTGGAAAATACTTTTCCACCCCTTCCTCTTCGAATGGAGGGACCATTCTGACATGCTTTGCTACGTCAAAATGCCTATCAGCATTTCTGCTCTCTTTTCTGTTTACGGCAACAAGTTTCTCCCTCTCCAACTCTACTCTCGCCCTCTCTAATTCTAACTCCTTTATCCTCACTTCATCAGAAACTGAAGACCTAGCCTGAGAATTTAATTCAGGAGACCGTGACCTAGACCCTGGAGGAGTCACACTGATACCGTCCGCCGCCTCTGAAGACAAAACCTCTTCAGCAACCAGAAATTCGACAATTTTGTTCAAAATGTCCGACTTCAGCATGTACCGCTTAATGCCAACAACCTCATAATGAGCTGCTACATCTAACAATTCAACTTTAGTCAACGAGCTTAATCGCTCCGCAGACGGATCCCTAACAAACTCTCCCAACGAGAACTCGCTAGCCATCATGCAAAAAACCTAGTCTCCTAAATATCCTAGAAAGAACTAGAGCCTGGCTGTTATAATCCCCAGCCAACCTTAAAACACCTAGATTCTACAATATCCGAGAAATCTAGACAACCTGACTGTTATAACCCTCAGTCAAACCCTGCAAATCCATGCAGAAACATGAGAAGACAACAATGTTTTTCTCACCACACACACCACGAATGCTCGAACCTGAAACGGCTACCCCAGCGGTGCCCGACGATATCATCTTAACGAACCGACATCGACAACACACACACACAGTACACACCGAACAGTCCGCTTATAGTCCGGCAGCCAAATCCAGATTATTGGCCTAACCTTGTTTTAGGGTCTATAGTTTTTTTTTCAATGGATTTTGATTGCCTAGACCTTCTATTTCAAGAATCCGATTGCTGACACTCTGTCAGCCTTGAGCAATTTAAGATATATGACGTCATACAAAATGGCCGCCAAAGTACATGATTTTCCTTTAAAAATGAATAATAAATATATAATAAGGATTTTTTTCTACAATTTTGGGCAGCCAAATGTCTGTATCTCTCTAGGACCATCACCAAAAAAATGTTTCGTGATGTTGCATGGCCATAGATGACCAGCTTATTTGCATATTTTGAAATAGCACCCTCTATAAACATATTAATTTGAATAAAATATGTGTGCCAGCCAAATGCCAATTTCTTAAATCTATGTCACGTTGAAATGATATTAAATGCTTTTTTGGGCAACAATTGCAGTTGTGCTGCATTAATCTTTCATCGTGTTTGGTAAAAATTTAGATAGGGTAGGTGTGGGGAATGGAAGACCCTTAAGCACATTTGCATAATTTGGTAACGAAATTGTGGTCATGATGTTACTGATTAATAAGATAACGATGATTAATGACGTCATCACCAAAGGTCTCTCATTACCTACATGTGTAGGTAATAAGGGACAGTTACAAATCAAGACATTTTAAATACAATTCGAATGAAAATGGGATTGTTATAGTTAGTTCAAACACTTTTTGCAAGAGATACATGCAGCCAATGAACTTACTGTAATTTTAAAAACGATTTTAAAACAATGTGGCCCAAAATATTTCTGTAGTTTTTTGTTTACAGTAATAAAGGTGCTCTCAACTATATTAAAATACTTTCAGAATAATGTTTTCTGGCAATATGACTTTTAAATTGATCAAACTCACAGCATAGAAACAACTTCTTAAAATTAAATGCATTCAAATTAGAATGGTGACACGTACAACCAAATATGTTTCATGATAGTGCCTTTCAACATGAAATGGACAACTGGGGAGAAGTAGGCCCCCATCTTGGACCTGGGGTCCCCCATTACCTACACACATTTCTGATCAGACACCATTCATAATGTGAATTGCAACACCCATTCACAACACACAATGGCCATAAGCTTTCTGTGATGGTTGGCACATTTTATAAACTTCCTTTTAAAACTAATTTTTAAGAGCCACCCCTAAATATCTGCATACACCACAACATTCAGTGAAAATTGTGTTTTTATATCAGAGCAAAATTTTACGATCTAAATTGCTTATCTTGGTCAATTTTGCCAATTTTCTCGCAGAGAGAACGCATTGTAGTCTTCGAAATGAATTGGATATATGCAGTAGTGTTGTTGAAGGCCACATATATCGCTATATCAATATTGGAGCCAACACGGACAGACAGTGATGGGTTCAAGCTTGGTGGTCTCCAATTCCCTACACCTACCCTACATATGTCAAGAAAAAAATGGCTATGAAAGAATTCATTTTTCATCAAATCGGTGAGAAGTGGTTTTACGGCACACATTATTATTCATTTGAAAGGCTTTATTTAGACCAGCATTGCTCCAACGTCAGTGAATGTGGATAAAGCAGTTGACATCTATACTAGACAGATGCACGATTTTCAAAAGAAATTACCTGGTGGATTCTATGACACAATTTCCAGGAAAGTTCAAACCGTGGCAGCCATGAAGAAGTCAATGTTGGGGTACGAAAGTCTATGAAAAGTTGATCTACTCCAGAGTAATAGGACTGCAGACAAGTTCAAGAGAGGTCAATGTCAAGGACACTTTGTCATTAGAGCTTTCACCAGTCCCAACAGCACTTTTTGATGATTCTGGAAACGAGCACTCCCATGTCAAAGACGGACTTAAAGAATTTGACAAAAGTTGAGATGTCAGCCAGGCATGAGACACTGGAACAACCTTGTACAGTCATTGATGGTTGTGCTCTCCTGTGGATGAAAATCTGATGATGTTTGCTTGGTGTTTGACAGATCCGAGAGTATCTAGAGGTCATAACGGGTCGAGAGTCTTCCAACTGAGTCCAAGAAACTATCTTTTACTGTTCGTCGTCGTCGTCATTGTCATATAGATCATGGCTCACCCTTGTGACCCGTTTGATGAGACCTTTTGATCGGCATCTGTCTCCTGCAATCCGGTAGAGTGTCTTTAATATTTAGAGGGTGGCTAGTGATTTCCCTAAGGTTGTCAGTCCATCTGAGCTTGAGTCTTCCTTTGTTACGTGTTCCTTCAAAGGTAACTTGAATGATAATTTGTCAAGGTTGTCTCCTGATCTTCTGCTAACGTGACCAAACTATTGTAGCTTGTACTTGTCAATCCTGGTAGCAAGTGGCGGTTGATCTCCGATGATGGACATTAATTGTGTCCATTGGTGTTGTAATCTCTTCATGATATCCCAAGTAGCTTCCTCCAACAATACATTTCAAAGGCAGATATTGCCGAGCTTCCACCCTCCTTGACAATCATTGACCCAAGAACATTATATAAATCTGTCCACTTGATCAACTTCTTCTCCATCAACCACCATGCTCTGTTGCATGTAGTTAATTTCCACCAATCATGATCTTGGTCTTTTTCACATTGAGGTAGGGTCCAAATTATTCACATGCATCCTTCACTTTTTTTAAGGAGTTCTAGTAGTTCTTCTGATGTTCTTGTTATAAGTGTTGTCAGTGGCATACTGAGCAGTAGAGGGGCAGAAAAACAATCTGCATCACCACCACTCATACATGTTACATGCAGGCCCCGCGGAACTTTTTTTAAAGCGGGGTGGGGGGGGGGTGAAGTATTTACGACCGGGAAGAGAGGAGCGCAAATTGGCGTGGTGTACAAGGGGAACAACCCCCGGAAGCTCAAGGGTTTCAGGCATTTATTAACTGTAAGATGAACATATTTTGATACTTCATTTCACCTCGGGTCACTTTCTTTCTTTCTTTCTAGTTCTCTTTAAAATACTTTATACAAAAAGTGAGGGGGGCTCGAGTCCCCTGAGCCCCGCTGTTCCGCGGACCTTGACATGTAGGCTTTTAAATAAGCATATTTTTTGCTTGACTGTGAATTTAGGATTTGTCATTTTCCAACATACGCTTAACAAATAATAACTTACTAAAAAGTGAGAAAAAACCCAGGAAAATCATGTTATTTCAGCAACATTTGTAAATCACTGGTATCGAATATATAGAAAAACAGTTTGAATTTTGTTTGAGGGTTCAACTGTCCCCACCCCCCCCCCCCCAACCCTTCCCCATCAATACGCCAGAGAGTGTTGTATTGTCGGCGAATCTTAGGTTGGTGATCGTTCGTCCACCAACAGAAACTTGACAATAAAATGCCTTTCTCATGATGAATTCAGCATAGATGTTCAAAAGTTATGGTGATAGGATGCAGCCTTGACGGACAACTTGACCAATAGTGAACCTTTCGGTGAAGCCATTTTCTGTTCTTACTGTTGCTAATTCTTGGTATTGGTAGAGCGACTGGATGAGTTGAATTATAAGTGCTGAAAAGCCCATCTAGCTCATAATCTTCCATAGGCGTTTATGTTGTACGCAGTCAAAAGCTTTGGAAAGATCAATAAAGCTAGGGAGAGAAGTTGTTGAAACGTGTCTCTAGTGTTGCTAACTTCACTATCTTTTCATGACAACAAACTACAGTTGATCGACATCATAATTATATCCGCGAGTCTGCAGGATGATTGGGTGCTCAGAAATAGGCAAAAGCACAAGCAGGCCTTTACCGTCAAGATGAGGTTCCTGTTGAAGTGATTCCAGGCAGTGATGTCATGCCAAGGAAAGGTCTGTCCACAACATAGATATGATGAAGCAGGAAACATCAAAGTACAGCAAGCGATTTGAACTGATGCTAATGAGAAGATGTATGTTATGGTCCTAGTGGATGACACAGACGTCTACGTACTACTTTTGCATCATTATCTACATGACGGACTTATAAAACGCCAATGACCATGGAGACGCCCCTTCACAAATCGAACTGATATTGATGTTCCTGCCAATGTAGACAAGTTAGGAGATATCATTCCATCGATGTTGGCAGGACATGCGTTGACGGGATGCGACACTCTTGGGGCATACTTTGGCATTGGATAGGGTACAATGCTGCAAGTGATGAAGCAGAAGATTCGACTCCCTTAGGACTCACTTGGCAATGCAGCATGGTCATATGTCATCACTCAACCTACTCAATGCTTTGCTTCATGTTATGGACAGTCAACAACCAAGTGAATGTCAGAGGCTCGTATCAACGTGTGGCTATCAAGGGTCCGAAGACTAGGAGCTCCAAATACCCCCAAACCTTGCCTCACTACCTCAAACTACTGAAGCGTTTGTAGAAATGTTAAGAGAGCTCATTTGCAAACATGAGTGTGGAAGCACGCATTACAGTCACGACCTCACTTTGCAGAATTAAGTGTTAAATGACACCCTCTTCCGCATGGAATATTTTAGGGTTCCCAACACTTTAGAGGGCTTTTAAATACATTTCGAGATATTGAAGCAAACTTATAAACGGATATAGTCTTGTATCGTATTGGTAGTTCGTAATTTTTAGGTTAATTTAAAAGAATCTAGTACCTTAGAATACAAATCTACTCTGTAAAAAAGAATTTGTTCATTGGTAATTTTTACGTATTTTTTCCATGTAGAATTTACTTGAAAACATTAGTTTTGCCACTCACGCACTAAATTTAAGTCTTGCTAACTCAAATTTTCAATTTAGTAGAACATACGTGGAATATTTAAGTAAAATCAAATACATAAGAACTTTAAGTAATTTCAGCTCGTATTAATTTAGTAATTTTAACTCAAAATCAGAAATTATACGTATTACTCAAACAATTTATGTTGATTATTCTTATCTTTTAAAGTAAGGACCGATGCAGTGCGTAATAGAAATATTTACATAATTTATGAATATTCATTAAGACCAAATTAAACTCTTTTTTAAA